ACCCTTTTTTTGGCAAGTTCTAATTCCAATGCTTGAATTTCCTTTCATTAATTGTTACACCCCTAGTTAGTAAATACGCGTTTTATACGCGTATTTACGTATTTTGATAATGGCTGCCGAATTATTCGCGAATTATTGGAATATTCGTATAATTTGTGAATAATTGCAGATTATTCGCGAATTGTTGCCCAAAAAAAACTGATACAAACCAGTAACAGATCTATGACTATTAAAACACAAATCAATGACCCAAATCAAACTTCCCGTGTCAAAACACAGACCCCCACATTCAGTAACAGATCCAAACCAGTAAAAAACAGAAAAAAAAAAAGAAACTCTCTTTACTGAGAAAGACAAAAAAAACAAAAAAAAACCAACCCACGAGTGTTTGAGTCACAACGGAGCTATAAAAAAACGCAAGAAAGAAAAAAGAAAAGAGTGAATGGATGGATGGGAGAAGGAAGAAGGAAGGTGGAGGATGGATGGGTTGGAATTGGAGAGATTAAAATAAAGAAATGATGATAACGCGTTGGTGATCTGAGAAATGAGAATATAAAGCCGCGAAAGATTCAAGAAACTGGGTCTTTGTCAGAGAAACAGTGGCGTTTGGTGTCATTTAGAATTTATAAGAAGAAAGACTATAAAAACAAATCTAGATTGTTGTTGATTCTCTTTCACTTTTTACTGTTCTACTTAAAAATAAAAGTATAAAACTATTAATCTATTACCGCATGTCTACATTGACTTCACTGTTTCATTTAAAAATAAAAATTTACCATTTTCACTATTATTGACAGATGTCAATTAACAATATTTATTTATTAACAAAATAAATATACGTTTTTTTTAAATTAAAATCCTGGGTTATTGTTCTTAATAATATAAAATAGAATTTGAGTATATTACTCAAGAGTCCTGAGTAAGAATCCCTACGACTACTAATAAAGGATAATCACTGAAGATTTATCTAACCGTTAATTTCATAGTCTCAAAAAATTTGTTGAGATACGCGCAAACTCAAAACTAGTTTACGCATATCTCAACGAATTTTGGTTTTGTTATGACTTATGTGTTTGGTTTGACACTATAGTTGAATTTTGACTAAATATTGTGTTTGAGTCTGGAGACTATAATTTGAATATCAGTTATATATTGAGTATTTGTGTTATTGGTTAATTGAATACTTTGCATTTGAAATGCTATATTGATTTTAACCAAGTAGTCCATAAAAGTGTTAAAACTAAGATTGATATTACCGTATTTTTCAAAACGTATTATTGACAATGCACCGTATTAAACCTGTATATACCCGTACCGTATTTTTTCCGTATCCGAATTTTATGGCCGAATTTTTATAAACGTATTTTTCACCATTTGCCGTATTATACCCATCAAATTCCCGTACTGTTTTTTTGCCGTACCCGTACTTACTAACTAGGGTTACATCAACTCGACTCTTGTACTTTCTCATTTATTAGTGCAAGTTCCAACTCAACGCTTGAATACCTAGGATTTCCTCCATGTTTTTGTTTTGGTACATATAAGGGGTGCAGGGGGGGATTCAAACTATTGAAGTGAGAGAAAAAAAGGATGACCACTAATGGGAAAGACAACACCGGCCAACCAACTGATGACCAAACCAAAGGGCACCACCACACAAGCAATCTGACTCTAGTAAATCAACTCCAACGACCAAACACCGGAAATCATGATCAAACCCGAACACTACCTTTATTCCATCATCAACAAAGCAAAAACAACCATACAACAACTCAAGGGATTAGAGAAAGGAAAGGTCGGCCAAGAATGAAGAAAAAATGTGGAGGGGGAGTGGAAAGGAAAGGTTCACCCCAAATTATACTCAAACATATAAAGACAAGAAACTGTTATTAGCTTTGAATTGAAACTAAAACATCAAAATCTTTCAACATCAAACATAAACGAAAATAAAACAACATAAGAATCATTCTTTGAAAGACTTATTAGCTTCTAACAAGCCCTTTATTTGATATTCAACTAATGCAACCCTTTTTTTGGCAAGTTTCAATTCCAATGCTTGAATTTCCTTCCATTAATTGTTACACCAACTCAACTCTTGTACTTTCTCATTTATTAGTGCAAGTTCTAACTCAACGCTTGAATACCTAGAATTTCCTCCATGTTTTTGTTTTGTTACATATAAGGGGTGCAGGGGAGGATTCAAACTATTGAAGTGAGAGAAAAAAAGGATGACCACTAATGGGAAAGACAACACCGGCCAACCAACTCACGGCCAAACCAAAGGGCACCACCACATAGGCAATCTGACTCTAGTAAATCAACTCCAACGACCAAACACCGGAAATCATGATCAAACCCGAACACTACCTTTATTCCATCATCAACAAAGCAAAAACAACCATACAACAACTCAAGGGATTAGAGAAAGGAAAGGTCGGCCAAGAATGAAGAAAAAATGTGGAGGGGGAGTGGAAAGGAAAGGTTCACCCCAAATTATACTCAAACATATAAAGACAAGAAACTGTTATTAGCTTTGAATTGAAACTAAAACATCAAAATCTTTCAACATTAAACATAAACAAAAACAAAACAACATAAGAATCATTCCTTGGAAGACTTATTAGCTTCTAACATGGCCTTTATCTGATATTCAACTAATGCAACCTTTTTTTTTTTTAACAAGTTCCAATTCCAACGCTTGAATTTCCTTCCATTAATTGTTACACCAACTCAACTCTTGTACTTTCTCATTTATTAGTGCAAGTTCCAACTCAATGCTTGAATACCTAGAATTCCCTCCATGTTTTTTGTTTTCTTACATATAAGGAAAGGAGTGAAAGGGAAAGGGAAAAAGAATGACCACCAATGAGAACAACACCATTGGCCAACCAACTCCAGCCAACTCACGACCAAACCAAAGGACACCACCACACCAAAACCATGGTCAAACCCGAACACTACCCTTCTTCCATCATCAACAAAATAAAAGCAACCACACAACAACTCAAAAGAGAAAGGGAATGTCGGCCAAGAATGAAGAAAAAATGTGGAGGGGGAGTGGAAAGGAAAGGTTCACCCCAAATTATATTTCAAACATATAAAGACAAGAAATTATAATTAGCTTTGAATTGAAACTAAAATGTCAAAATCTTTTAACATCAAACATAAACGAAAACAAAACAACATAAGAATCATTCCTTGTAAGACTTGTTAGCTTCTAACATGGCCTTTATCTGATATTCAACTAATGCAACCTTTTTTTTTTTTACAAGTTCCAATTCCAACGCTTGAATTTCCTTCCATTAATTGTTGCACCAACTCAACTCTTGTACTTTCTCATTTATTAGTGCAAGTTCCAACTCAATGCTTAAATACCTAGAATTCCCTCCATGTTTTACATAGGACCACCAATTCGGCAGATTTCGGAGGTGGTGGCCGGCTATCGGGAATATATGGGTGGGTAAAGGTATTTTTTTCTATTTATAAACTTTTATTTTTGGGGGTATTTAGTTAAATTAACAAACCTAAAGGGTTAAAAAACTCTAAATATTTTGAGTTGAATAGAGTATGATTTGATTTTGAGAATATTGAAACAAATATGTATTTTGGGTAGGATTGGATAGGATAGGATATGAAAAAATGAAACAAACACAGCCTTTTATATCTTGAGTTTTGAAGCCTATGATGAAAGGTTCAAGTGAAAGAGAATGAAAGTCGAGCATATTTCATCTTTTCTTCTTAATTAGACTTGTTGATGTATGATTTTGACAACAATGAAATAAACACATGCAAATTGCTACGAATCAACACGTGAGTTTTTGTGGGAGTATTTATGATGCAAAGATGATATATGTTTAAGGAAATATAAATAAAAGATTGACAAGAGATATTTTTAGAGTGGTTCGGATGCTGTAAGCAAGTCTTATGTCCACTGATATTTTATTATTCTCTGATTGTTTTTTTAATATCGCCTGTGAGACGTACAAAGATGGAGTAATGCTTTGTTTACAGAGAAAAAATAATAGCTTCAACTCGAACGTATGCCTAGCCTTTTTATGCATTCGTTCTCCTTTTTTATAGGATGTTATTTAGCCAACTTCAAGGTGATGATTACTTGACAGACTGCTCTTGATCCTGTTGTAACACACAATCCAGATTTTAACTTGATAGCTAAGTTAAGATGGATGTTGATTATCAAGGTGAGTTGATGATAGCTTGTATTTCTTTGACTCTTGTTGTTGTTGGATCTTAATTGGTGACTGATGTCTTGCTGTGATTGATGACTGATTTTGACACAACTAAACTATGATTATATATAAAATAAATTTTACATTAGTATAAATGTTTTTCGTTTTCTTTTTGGATGTATATCATGTATTGTAAGAATAGTCTTTTTGTTTTAGGTTCTTGTATACGTGAGTGGCAATTAATCCAAGAAAAAAAATAAGGAAACCAACCAGTGAAACGATGCAGTTGTTGTCCACAAGATAATAGAAAACTGATTTTAATTTTCTTTTTTTAACCAACCCTTACCTTTACTTTTCCCCTTCTTCGTTTGATTTGACACAACTCACACAAGCCTTAACACAAATGATACAACTTTGCTTTTCAAACGAAAGTAAAAGATTGCTATCTGAAATTCTTCTTTGCCTACTGTAGTTTAATCTTATGCATTTAACCTTAAGTCTATATTTCAATGATTTTAAAATTTTAATTGATAATGATTTTGTGATGAAGTGCTATTAAATAATTTCAACATTAATTTGATAAATAAAGTCTTATAAGACTAGTAAAAGTAGATGCTGAATGAGTTAATGAACTAATTGAAACCGAAACAGTAAACATAGATTGGTTAATTATCAATTTTTCCTTAATTAACTCTATTATATATTTCATTGGGTTACTAATTAATATTTAATGGGTTACTAGGGCATTGTCAACTACAGTAGACTTTCAGGATTTGGAGATTCTTTTTCAAAACGTTAATTTTTCAGAACACATTTACAAGATGGAGGGCCAATTAAGCGGTCTTACAAAAAACAAGATTTATAATTTCTTCTACACCTCTTAAACAGGTTCAGCCTGTCCAGCATCATCACAGAAAATTAAATTATAGTATCTAATATTTCCCCAAACAGGGAAAACTACATTTTGCTTTACATTAAAAATTTCAAATCCCCTTCAATTTATCAAACTGGGCTTCCGTAGAAGGTCATAGCTAACCCAACAGATAATCATTACCTCCGCATCGATGACAATGGTAAACCTTGGATGGAAGAACATGAAGGAGGAAGAACATCCTTTACAGATGTAAGAACTTCAATCAACTCTTCTATTTGACGTCTACACATGAAAACTTCATCAGCTAGTTTCTTTGTTAGCCATTCTTCTAACATCCTGCACAGAACTCAATTCCTTAGCTTGAAAGTAATTAATAGAAAATCAGTCGAGTACAGATGGACTGTAACAGATACGATCACTCTACCGAGACATACCACATATACTGATTGCTTATGATGGGAAAAATAGAGGCAGGCTTTTGTTAGCCTTTCAAACACAGATGAATCTTTATCATGTTTTTACTAATTCAGACATAAACTAAATATTGAACAATAAACTAAAATTGTTCCAAGCAGAACATGAATTTCGAAAAAAGACATGATAAAATATCAGGTAAATAACATCTAGTAAATTTTATTGCCAGACTATATAAAATTGTAACTAAAAAGTGTCCAATGCTCTAGTATCTCAGAGAGGTCAGTATATACATGCAACCTGTACCCCAGAAGGAGAGAGGAAGATCACTTTGCTAATCAGATCCAGAGAATGGAGAATTCAGTTCAATCACTTGAAAAATATGAAGCGCAAACTACAAGTCAATAAAAACTAACCTTGATTGAGATTCAGAATTGCTGCTGCAATCAGAAAACAACAACTTAATAATTGGGTGTAGATCTAACTTGAGCACTGGTTCCATGGAGCTGTCCTCACCCAAGCAATAACCAGTACAGCACCAAGAACTGGGATTTATGAGAACAATTTGTAGCATGGTAGATTTGGTGTTCAAATCCCTTACCAGTGTCCGAAATGATAATTCATCTTGGGCACTTTCAAGAAGCTGATTTGTGAACATTCTTTCCAGGGTATAATTCCTGGTGACAAAGAGAAAACTCATTTACATGCCAGCGACTAAAAGAAAAGACTTATTCTTTCTTATTTGTTCTCATATGAGATCACAGGTGTCAGTCACAATGTAAATCAACAATAGCTTACCGAAACATGTCACCTGATCCACCGACTGGCAAACAAGTGGAAAGGTAACACTTAAAGAGTCGAACGCCACAATCTATAGGAGCATCACCACTACTACAAGGGTAAGCTCCAAGAAGAGATGAACACTGGGGACATGAATATTCAACCCAGTTAATATTCTTTGAGACATTGTAGGATTTGGCCATGAAAATATTTCCAAGAAAGCCATTGAGAAAAGATCTCTGATCTTCCATTAGTTCAATAGTTCTCATAGNGATTGACCAAAAATATTATTTAATCGAGGTTTAATTTACTGTATTTAACTTTTTCTTCAAAACCATTGTATTGTAACGAAACATTAGTTTATATATAAAAAGGAAAAATTGACCTAATCTAACTAATAAATTATGACATAATTTGTTAGATTAATTACAAGAAATATAATTACACATTAAGGTTAACTAAAGTGAGTAGTTTACTAACTAAAATATGTTATGTGGTGATGAAAGTCCTTTCAAGTTACCATTGTGTGGTTTGGTTGGTTTTTTTTCTTTTTTTTTTTTTTCAATAAACAATATTTAGATTATGGAAATAGTCTAATCTTATTGCATAAGTTAGCACCATTCCCTTACAATCAAAATGTCTTAGGAGAATCCGTCTCTATTGAGTCTGAGATGGGCATATGACTGAAATTTGTTTGGTATAAGTTAACCATTTGACACAAATTATAACAGTTCTAAAACGGTTAACCGTTTGACAAAAATTTACAACTATTTCTTGTCGTTTAAAAAAAATGTTAATAGTTTATTCAAAATATCTCCTGACACGTAACTCTAATTTTTAAACTATGACACAAGTACAACCCTTCAAAATCAGATACATAATCTTTGACTTTTCCAGTTTGCATAAATAGCAAAAAATATTAAATTATGTTGAAAGGTTGAACATGAAACCAACCATGAAACGCATTTATCTTATCTCATACGGAATATACTTATAAAACATAAGAATATCATAACTTAATTGACTTATATTTTTGATGATGTCAATTTATTTGGACTTTCTTGATTCTATAAATTATAAGATTATGATTTGGGTTTATTTCATGAATGATATATATAAAAGATTGATAAAATTCAAGCGTCTCCATATATATTTCGAATTTAAGTCTATTAAATACCCCATATTAAAAAAATATTGACAGTTTTACAAAGAGTTGTAATGATTCTTGAACGTATTTAACAGTTTTCAAAAATATTAGAAGGCTTAATGTTTATCGATCTATTAGAGATTTACATAACCATCAAAATTTGTTGTTACAAGTTTATTATTCCCATCAATTTTTATTTTTTTATTTTTTATTTTTTTTTTAAAGACTGAACGAGTTTTTCCCACAACGACACTTTTTCACCCAAAAAGTTTCAAAATACCACTTTCTTATCTAATATTTATATTCCATTAGTACCCAAAATACACTTTACTTTCTCAACTAACATTCGACGAGTTACCAGGAGTTAGGGTAAGAGGGTTTTTGTAGAGTGGAGGCCGGTGAATCGAATGGTGATGATCGATTGAATATTCGCTGTCGAAATCAATCAGAAATCAGACAAGAATAGGAAACTTTAGCTCTGCGGTGATCGATAATCGACGAGAAATAAGATACCCGTGTGAAAGAGATTTTGTACCTAGTTAGTAAATACGGGTACGGCAAAAAAATGGTACGGGAATTTTACGGGTATAATATGACAAACGGTGAAAAATACGTTTATAAAAATTCGGCTAAAAAATTCGGATACAGGAAAAATACGGTACGAGTATATACGGGTTTAATATGATGCATTGTCAATAATATGTTTTGAAAAATACGGCAATATCAATCTTAGTTTTAATACTTTTATAGACTACCTAGTTAAAATCAATATAGCATTTCAAATGCAAAGTATTCAATTAATCAATAACACAAATACTCAATATATAACTGATATTCAAATTATAGTCTCCAAACTCAAACACAATATTTAGTCAAAATTCAACTATAGTGTCAAACCAAACACATAAGTCATAACAAAACCAAAATTCGTTAAGACTCCAAACTAGTTTACGCATATCTCAACGAATTTTTCGAGACCATGAAGTTAACGGTTAGATAAATCTTCAGTGATTATCCTTTATTAATAGTCGTAGGGATTCTTACTCAGGACTCTTGAGTAATATACTCAAATTCTATTTTATATTGTTAAGAATAATAACCCATGATTTTAATTTAAAAAAACGTATATTTATTTTGTTAATAAATAAATATTGTTAATCGACATCGGTCAATAATATTGAAAATGGTAAATTTTTATTTTTAAATGAAACAGTGAAGTCAATGCGGACATGCGGTAATAGACTAATAGTTTTATTCTTTTATTTTTAAGTAGAACAGTAAAATGTGAAAGAGAATCAACAACAATCTAGATTTGTTTTTATAGTCTTTCTTCTTCTAAATTCTAAACGACACCAAACGACACTGTTTCTCTGACAAAGACTCAGTTTCTTGAATCTTCTGCGGCTTTATATTCTCATTTCTCAGATCACCAACACGTTATCTCATTTCTTTATTTTAATCTCTCCAATTCCAACCCATCCATCCTCCACCTTCCTTCTTCCTTCTCCCATCCATCTATTCACTCTTTTCTTTTTTCTTTCTTGCCTTTTTTTATAGCTCCATTGTGACTCAAAACACTCGTGTGTTAGTTTTGTTTTTTTTGTCTTTCTCAGTAAAGAGAGTTTTTTTTTTTTTTTTTTTTACTAGTTTGGATCTGTTATTGAATGTGGGGGTCTGTGTTTTGACACGGGAAGTTTGATTTGGGTCATTGATTTGTGTTTACAGTTATAGATCTGTTACTGGTTTGGATCAGATTTGATTTTTTTTTTTTTTTGGCAATAATTCGCGATATTCCAATAATTCGGCAGCTATTATCAAAATACGTAAATACGTGTTTTATACGTATATTTACTAACTAGGATTTTGTAGAGAGGAGATCGGAAGTCCAAATGGTGGTGACAGAAAGAGTTTTCGCTATTGGAATTGACTTTTGGTAGTAATGGAACATTAACTTTGGGTGAAAAAAAAAATGATATTTTAAAACTTTTTTGGATAGAAAAGTATCGTTAAGGCAAATCCTAATGGTAAAAAGTCGTTTACTCTTTAAAAAAGTTACTATTAATAAATATTTTATTAAAAATTTATCATAATAATCTTATAAAATCAAAGATAAACTCTTAAAATTTAATAGATATACGAAAAATACATGAATATCTTCAAAACACTATACAAAATCTTATATAAAAATATCATAACTTGGTTGATATAATATATTTGATGAATTCACGACAAAATCTTATATAAAAATATCATAACTTGATATATATATATATCTATATAATAATATAATATATTATTATATATATATATATATAATATATTTATATGTTGTGTGTTTGGTGTGTTGTGTGATCAATTCACGTGTTTAGACTTTTTGGATATATTTTATATGAGATACCCAAAAAAAAAAAAAAAAAAAAAAAACCTCCTTTGACCAGGTAGTTAACCCAAAATTAAAGAAAAAAGAAAAAAATAATATCAAAATCTTTGAAGATGTGACAAAAATTGGACTTTTTAAATTTAATTAATAGGAAGCCACATTGACAAACGTTAGTGGTGTCCCAATGACACATATTGAAGATCTTTGAACAATTAATTTAATTAATTAATTAACTCAAAATTTTAATAACTCGATCACGATCATGATCACGATCACGATCACGATCACAATCTCTCTTTCTCATTCTTTTTTTCTAATTATTTACTAAATATAACTCTAGCAAGTAAGGTAGGGAGAAATAGAGAGATAATATAAAAAATAATAGAGATGAAAATGACTTTATAATAATATTCTATTTAAAGAGATAAAGAGTTTAAAATTAATAAAAATGACAACGACTTGGCAATATTCCTTTTGCAAAATTTACCTTTTTTGGCTTTTTAAATCAATTAAGCTTTGGTTTGTGTAACTTTCTTCTAATTCCTTTTATCTTTTTCTCGTTTCATAAAGTATGTGCATATGTCATGTTAATATTAGGTTACAGTTGCGTCTTTCATGGCAATTTCACAGTAATTCTTTTACACATATTATAATAAGATATTGTTTAAATAATATTATAAAAATATTATTAATGGGTAATACAATTATTAAATAGGATAGTATTTGATTATAATTTATGTCTTTTTATGAAAATTGATAAGTTTATGGTAATTAATTTCCCTTCTTTTTTTTCAAAAAAAAAAAAAAAAAAAAAGAATCAACATTCATAAAAAATTAGAGGAGGGCAAGGCTCGGACCAGTCAGTCCCAGGCCTAGGCCTTCGAGGACCAACCCTAATTTGGGATCTTGAGGGAGCGGGCCCAAATCTTGAAAGACCAGTCCTGGGCTCATGAGTTTTCCTAGGGCCTAGACCGATCTTAGGACCAGTCCCGGGATCAGTCCCATGGGCCTGAAAATTTGTTTTTTTTTTATTTTTTTGTAAAGGTTTTCCAACCCCTAAATTTATTATGTATTTACTAGAGGTTTATGTAATTTGGGGGGTTTTAAATATTAACAGACCTAGGCCTTGGAGGAGAGGGCCTGGTCCCTCCTCCCTTGGGTCTGTCTGGTCCTCCCAAGGACCGGGTTTTGGGCCCGGGCCCAATTCCCATCTCTATAAAAAAAACATCACAATCATTAACATGGATAGAAAATTATTAAATCCACGGAAGAAAATGTTTGATTTCATGTAATTACATTGATTATATTACCATTTCTTACACTTGTATTTTCATAACAGATGAAAATGATCAAAATTACAGAATACCCAGAGTCCTGTCGAAGATTTAGCTCATCCTCTATATACAAGCTGGAATTGATGAAGCAACATATCTGCTCACTTGAAGAGGGCCTTTTTTTCTTGTTATCTTCATTTATTTGCTTTCAGCTTTTCTTCAGAATATATGCTACTCCATTTCTGCAGTACTTAATGTTTATTTTTCAGTATTATTTTTGGTCAGCTTTTGATTTCATTTCAAAGATTCTTTAAATTAAACCTTATGAGATCAAATACATGGATGTTTAACTTTTATACTTTCTTACAATGGTGGTAAAATATTTGGGCAATTATGGTTAATATTTTCCTTGGATCGCTCTAAAATCAAAGTTTATTTTGTTCGTCCTACTGAGTAATAGCTAA